CCAGAACATTACCGGAAAACAATGGTTAACTGTAGTGATAGGGACGTATCTGTTGTTACTCATTTACGTGTAGTATACGATTCTGTACGCTTATTCTTTACTTCATACCGCGATTGTCTATGATAGTTTATGGTATCACGGCACCACGCTGTATCTAAAAGATAGACCTAACTTAATACTCTGCATATTTGATTTGCTTAAAAATGAAAACTTAATCGTACAATAACAGGTTTCCCCTATTATCTATAAAAATCAATGATTAATAATATACTATGGGATTCCTACATTTTGTAATAAACGAGCTTTAGTCCCTTTACACAAATATCGTTAAATAATAAATAATGTTGAAAATGTCACATAAATAGTATAATTTCAATTATATAACTATTATAAATAACATTTTATAACCGGAAAAACCTTTAAATTGAAATAAATGAACAACTTTTCAACCAGCAATTATGCTCCGATTTCCAATGGTAGCACTTTTGAGAGGACATCTGACTATGGTTAGACGGCGGTACTTTAGAGAGGTCATTTTTTGATTTTCCCATGAGTTTTCCCAATAAATGGGACAAGCAGGGAAAAAACAAGGAAAAATCGGGAAAATAGGTACAAATGGTACAATGTTAAACAAATATTATTAAAGAAAATATTTAATGCATATATCATTATTTTATCATAATATGACGTATACAGAGTGATCAATCTATCGTAAGACACTTGTTATCTCGGAAAGTATTAACCTTTCCAGAGATTTATTTTATAGAATATTTAAGAAACAGGCTGTTTTACAATTTTATATTTATATTTTTTATCACCATTATTTTTTGGGAATAAAACCACTACTTTTGATTTTTAAATGGCGACCTTTATTAAAAATCCCATGAGTAGATGAAGTATTATTTACGTTGACGAGATATCCACTTTTAAGTTATGGTTGGAAGAGAGTGGTGGTGCATTATTAACACACTGCGCGCTGTACCGCCACACAAATGTGACTCCACAACTCTCCTCCAACCAAAACTTGAAAGTGGAATATTTCGTAAATGAATTTACCGAAATCAAAAATTTCAACGCTAAAATTTATTTTAAATAATACTTCATCTATTCATACAATTTTTAATATGGGTTGTCATTTGAAAATCAAAAGTAGGAAGTGGTTTTATCCCTATAAATAAGGGTGACAAAAAAGAACATACATTTAAAATTGTAGAGCAGCTTGTTTCTTAAAAGTTCTAGAAAACAAATTTCGGAAACATTATAAATTTCCGAAATATTGAGTGTCTTATGATAGATTGATCACCTCGTATATTGTTAATAAAGCAACACTATCAACCGAACTCCACTCAGAATTATTTTTTCGTAAGCAATGGTTAATCGTTGCGTACAGATATACATTAAACTCTCGTCTATATTCTTAATTCTCAAACTACCGAAAACTATCGATGATGGCTTACAAACTATCGATAGTAGTTCTCCACCACTATAATTGAAATAACGTTTATTTTTCATTAAGTAAGTTGCTGCACGTAAATTATCACAGCGTACAGCAACGTATAATAAGTTGCTACATTTTATTTCTATAATAGCGACGATATTATGTCAATTGCTACAAAACGACAATTATGACGTCATCTGGTCAAAAGATCAATCCTATTATTATTTAATAGATATGCATATTCATAAAGATTATAATTTATAATATACAAACACAAATTCAATAAAAACATTGAAATAGTTTTATTTAATTTTAGTAAATTTTAGATTCATGATGGATACTATATTATACAACAGAAAAAACAAAAAAACAATACAATATTATAATATTATTATTATACCTATTATTATAATATCATGATAAGATTAATTTCAATTTTTAACTTTGAATGAGCAGGGTATGCTATTTTTATTACACACATAGGTATTCATATTTTCAAATTTCATTTATGACAACCTATAACGTCCGCCGTCCAATATCACTTGATATATTATTATATATTGTAGATAATTGACAGTTGATTTACAATAGTCTAATGCTGGGTTTCATATAAATCGTTCCGTAAATATTAAATGAATGATTAACTTATAGCTCATTAAAATTTTAATAGTTTGTTAAATCGTTAATAAACATTTATTATCTATACTCATATTTTTTAACGACAGCAGCTGCCATATTATCATGGCGTTCATATCAAAGGGTTGTTATCATAAACACTCATTGATAATAACTGTTAACTATATATATGTAGTAAAATTTCAATGTTGTATATACCTACATTTTAATTTTACTTACCGGAATCTATGACAAAAGTCTACATTATCAAAATATGTCAGTGGATTGGACCTATTTCGAAACACCCTTGGTGTAGGTAAGCATCCTAAAATTTCAAATATGAATTAACCATCATTATAACTGGATGATCAACCATAATAAACAGCCATTGTGCATTTAATAAATATTTTAATAATTGAATTAATTACTTGGTCCATCAATCTTTTTTTTTGAAAACCATATTATCAATGACACATCGGAAAATTATTGTAACTGTATTGATAACACATATTTAAGGGTCATTTGCAATTTATAAAAAAAAAAATGAGTCAAAATCAGGTGATTAACTAATGGACCGTTACTACTAAACATTAATGGTCCGTTAAAAGATAAAGAATGTTTATACAACGAAATATTTTTAACGAGTCATTAAAACCTCTTATAATCAGTTAAATACTTATCGATCGTTTATGCAGCCCAGCATTAATAATTTTAGTCTTGCAGAATTTTGACTCGGCTATTAAATATATATTTTTATATTAAGATAATATTTCGATCAATGTAAATTAATTGAAACACCTTCATAATTAAAAATAAATGCTGGTAGTAAATTAATTACGACCTCATTACTCTCAAAGTTATATGTTTAATGTCTTCCAGGAATAATCAAATTATTGATAATTTATTCAAGTGATCATTGTATTATTATAGACACTAAATGTATTACTTACCTTCTTAATTATAATTTGTATTATAAAACTTCTACTCTTATACTCCAAATTTTTAGTGTTTTTGCTTTGTCATTAATAATCTATACCATTGTTTATTCAAATTCGAATTAAAAGGGAAGTTTATTAAATGTTTAAGTATTATTATGTAACTACTGTAATCATTATTTATATATTGTAAATTGAACATTGTCCGTATGAATTATAAATAAATAAATAAATAAATATGCTCAAACTCTAAAACACATTGGAGTACATTGAGTAAATGGTACACGCATGTAAAAGCTTTGAATAGGCAATTGCTTCAAAAAATTATTCCAAACCATTATAATGTGCTCTTGTGATGAATAAGATTTCTGTAAGGAAATATGTTGAATGGGATGAAAAATATTATCATGGATATGTTAATTATGGACTTTGGTATAGAGCTTAATGGCAATGATGTTGAAGTGGCTACTGAATACAATAATGGTAGTTGGTAATAATGTGTCATGGTGTGGCAGTCGTAAATGGTACAGGGGTTATTATTGTGAATTTAACCTTTGATGGTTATTATAAAAATATTAGTATGGCCAAAGAACTTAGTTGTAAATTGATTTCAAGGCCTGAACAATTAATTAGTTATTTTAATGTTAATAGTTGTAATGTCATCATAGATCATTTGTATATGATCAAGTTAGTACGGAATGCTTTGGGTGAAAAGAATTATTAATTTATTTAAATGGTGAAATTGTAAATTTTAGTTATACTGAAAACTTACTAATACTCCAAGAAAAAGAGAATGCATACTTCAGGAATAAATTAAAATAGAACAAGTTATCTATTTCAGAAAAAAATTAAGGTGAAATTGTCTACCCAACTTTTATCCTGTTCAGTTGATAATTCACTGGAATGTATGACAAATTTGAACCTAAAAGATTTTGAAAATTGTAAAACCACCATTATGTTAATTAATATTTTTAATGATGCATTTAATATACTTAATTTTCATTGTTTTTCAAACAGTATTAAAAGAGCTGTAAATAATCAAATACTAATAGATAGTAACCCAAGTTTGAAGTCTCAATAATCTATCAGAATTTTTGTATCATTTTCTCATCATTAATGAATTTAAAAAAATATTTTTCGGGAATATAAGATGTCACGGTCAATATAACAATCCTACTGTAAGTTAATTTAAATCAGCGTCAAAAAAATAATAGTAAATTCTCGAATTAAAGTGAGAGGTTTTGGTATCTGTATTTCACTGGAAGATATTTCAATACTAAATTGTTCTTTTGTTTCTAATATGTCAATGAACATAATAAATGGCAGTAATATAATAATAAGTAAATTTATTGAACTAGAAAAATTTAAATGGCTGGTTTTATTTATCATAAATTGGTCCTGAATATTAATGTAAATGTGAAATGTGAATAAACTTTTTATTTGGGGCCCAAGATTTTTTAATGTCCATTTTTTGGTTTAAAAAATAGAGGTGGACTTTATCCTCTATGGATTTAATGCAAAATTTTACTTACAACACTAAATTAATAAGCAAATCATTCTCACTGGTGTGGTTATATTCAATAACATCAATACGGATTATACTTAGGTCAAGTGGTAAATTAAAAATAAAACATTTCTTATCAAATTCAGAATATTTAACTAAAAAACATTTAGAACATTAATAATAGAATGTTCTAATGTTTCTTAAAAGAAAATAATTGACTTGTATGTAATATTATAACATACACCACAGGAATCTGTTTTGAAAACACCCGTTTAATTTCTTATAAATAAATAAATTTGTTTAAATAGTTATTTTTTTTTTACAACTTAAATTATACAAACATTAAACAAATTAAAAACAATAAAAAAAAATATACATTTCTATTGTAGAAATATAAAAATGTATAATGACGAAACAATAGGTAATTACATAAATAATTACTTATTATTATTCTTACAAATAGCACTATATTATGAACAAAAAAAGAAAAAAAAAATAAAAATAAAAATTAAGCACCTATGTCTTCTGGGTCTGTATTTACACTTGCATCAAAACTTGAATCAGACAAGGGTGTACCTGAAAGGGAATGGGTACTGACCACGCTACTGTTACTGCTACTGCTTGAAAAGTGATTTCTGTCATAGTTAATATTCATTTCACCGGTTATGATGTCTTCCAAAAAGGATGGAAACACTAGTTTAAATCCACACGAAAACTACACAAATTGTGAAAAAAAAAAGTATTTTTACTTACAAGATGACAAATTTCCATCAGACCCTGAACCTTCACTATCAACATCTTCATCTTCGTCCTCTTCCATCTAATGTAACATAGATTATGAATATTGAGTTTTATATTTAAAATAATAAAAACTTACATTTTCGTCATCTGTCTTAGATCGACCTACATCATATATTCGAACAACT